ATGAGTGTACAACATCAAAAGCCGTTTCAGCTCATCCACTGGTAGTCTAACTTGAACCTTCTTTCCTTTCATAGTCTGATGAATATTTGCGATTGTATCCAGCAGTGAGAACATGGTGAAATGTTCATTACATCCACAGTAAACATATGCTTGCTCTGAATGTGCACAGTTGAAGACTGTCTCTCAAATGGTATTGGGTAATGTAGTCTCGCAGTGGTTTTAGAGTTTTAGAGCTAACAACTTGGTAAACTTATGTTGTGGTGGGTTGAATATGGATCTAACGGGTCGCAATGGAATGTCTTTGTGGTCATCCAGGCCTACGAGATGACGCCTACCCTGGAGTAGTGGGTTACAGTTTTTGGACACATGCGATCAATCAAATTTCAAAGGTGACGTCAATGACGCGCGTACGTGTCACTGCTTCTGACACACTACTACTACACGCCATAGGCAAATTGTGCCAGCCAATCTGAGACAGTGCAGTTCAGACAGAAGTAGAAGAATGCAAGCAATACTGGAATGCGATTGGTAGAAGCCTTGATAACCAATGATCTTCTTTTGTGCTTAGTATTTATTCGTCTTCATTTCTTCCAATAAGCGAGCTACGAACGGCCATTCTTGTGGCCTTTTCCTCGCGGCTCACTCACGTGCCACTGCGGTTCAGTGCTTTCGTAATCCAGTCCGTGATAGCTGATCCTTGATTCGTGTCCTGTGATTCCTATTGCGTGGTTTGTGTTCCGAGTTCCGTGCATATTACTACTACTACTACTACCACTACAACTACTACTGCTACTACTACTACAATCATTACAAAGTGGCGTCGCGTGATGTAGCTTCCAACGATTCAGCAACTTAAACTGCATGCAAACCCATCTGAGATCGAGGATTGGTGGAACAATTTGAACTGTGGTGCAGTATTCACAAAGGTGGTGCACAGAATCAATCAGCCCCTTTTTTTACTGCTGGCGGTCGTGGTTTCTACTCCCTGTTGAAAAAACTGGCGTTACCTGAGGCTCCGGCAAAACTACCATACGAGTCCCTGAAGTTGTTGCTGCTCAACCACCTGCTGCCCACTGTGTTCCAAGCACACGAAAGGGCCAAATCCAGCTCCATGATTCGTGCCGACCATGGTTCTTGCCGTGACTTCATCCTGCAGCTGAACAAACAGACATCACGCTGCAACTATGGTGATCGCCTGGAAGAACAAATGTTTAACCGCTTGGAGGCAGGCATGAATACTCTGACTCTCCAACGGAAGTTGCTGGAGGAGAAGGATTTGACTTTTGTCGAGGCCAGCAAGATCTGTGAGCAATATGATGAACTGATGAAAGCTACTTCCAGTTGAGCAGTCACATTATTTCAACGGCAGTAGACACGACCGAACCGACCTCCAATGACCAAGTTTACACCGAATGCACAGCAAGATTCTTCAGGCAACGATAAACGTATCAAACTCTGTTTGTCATGTGGAGCTTACCATCTCCGCTCCATTTGCCACTTCCGAAATGCCAAGTATCATGCATGAGGGAAAACTGGCCTTACCCGGGGAGTGTGTAAACAACCTCATTGCAATCTTGCACTACCAACGGCCGAAAATGACACAAACCTTTTGCTCTGTTTACGATCCGAAATCCAATGCACCCGATTCCTGTACAAAGATGTGATCCTACAGTCCGGCGCAACGCACAAATTCATTGTTGACACAGGAAGCTCGGCATCTATCATTTTTACTGCAATACTTCGGTCAATCTGTTTCCAAGCCCAAATCCGTCCGATATCTATGCAAATCCTTGGTGTGACTGGACACAAATTGCCATTGATTGGTGAGGTTTCGCTTATGGTACATTCCACAGAAAATTGCCTTGTTTCTGTTCGCTTCTTAATTAACTTAACCGCCATTCGTGCATTGAACCATTCTGTGTCGCTCCATACAAACACTACGCCCAATGTACACACCCGTCTACAGTGCCTAATCGTGAAATGTTTCAACTATACAGAAAGCATGGATGTACAGTCGGCCAAATTGAAGGTTGACGGTGAGCCCATTTTCCCGAAACGACGCGTGATCCTCTGTGGTCAACGTGAAGACGTGTTGACGGCTATTGAGAAAATGGAGCGCGATGGCATAACCACCGGAGTCCCATTCAGTGCGTGGGCAACGTTAGCCAATCCGAAACAGTGCAGTTCAGACAGAAGCAGAACAATGCAAGCAATACTGGAATGCGATTGATAGAAGCCTCGATAACCAATGTAGTACACAGTATTTATTCGTCTTCATTTCTTCCAGTAAACGAACTACGAACTACTATCCCAGTAACCATTTCCTTGGATCTCAGTCACGTGGGATATTGCTAGCTCGTGCCGTTGCTGCCCAGTGCTTCCGCAATCCAGTCCGTGATATCTGATCTTTGCACGCGAATACCAGTGTGATCCATGGATCCGTGATTGCTAATCAGTGATTCGTATTCCGTGATTTGTATTTCATGTTCGTTGCGTACTACTACTAGTACCATTACTACCACCACTACTACTACCACAGTGTTAACTGGGGTCACAAACCCACCTTGACTGACAGGAACTGAGTGGAATTTGTCGTGAATACATATATATATATATATTTATATATATGTACGTTTTACAACTCAGTGTACGCCTCCATTCTCTCTTGATATATATATATATATATATGTATATGGTGTCTATTTGAAACTGAAGCAACGGGTCTCTGTGAAACACTTGTGGGTTGGTATAGGCAACGGCACTTCGACTGAAGTAAATTTTTTCCAAATAGTAACATATAAGCCTGATTCGTTCACACTCAGTAAATTTTTGAACTTTCAAATTTTTATTATGGGAAAAAACTTACAAATACTTTGCTTATCAAATCCCATAAGGTGTTTACCCTTTGTTTCGGAACACGATTCACAGGATCACAGTTAGTCCATGTAGGTAAATGCGTAATGGCATGTTTTTGACGAGCACAGAAGAATATATTATGTAGTTGGTTGTTGGAGCATAATGTTTGCCAGAGCATCATCAAGCTGACGCTTGAAAGATACTAATGTTGGCGCACAGACCACGTGAGGTTGTAAAGAGTTCCATGTGTTGCACACCCTGACTGCAAATGAATGACGTCTGCAGTCGAGACGGCTCTTTTGGAGTGCCAACTTCAGTGGATCTCTCTGAGATGAACATTAGTTGATGGAACCAAAAGAGATATAAGTGGATAGTTGTTGGCTGTTGGAAAATCCGATACAGTAAGATCATATCGCCTCTGATTTGACGATATTGAGACGAGTATAGCCCCAGTAGCCGTAATCTTTCGCCGTAGGTTTTGGAATGTAGACCTTTGACCATCTTGGGAGCCATTCTCTGTGGATGTTCAAGTGCCCTCCGATCTTGCTGCAGCCATGGGTTCCAGGCCTGAATTGAGTACTCGGTGTATGGATGGATATATGTGGCTAACAGACGTGGAAACAAAGCCGGCTCAAACGATCCGAAAACACGTTTGAGCAGTCCAACCTGTTTTAACGCCATGGATGATGCCGTAGAACAGTTTGTAGGGCAAATCCAGTCTGCAAGAATGACTACTCTCAGATCCTTTTCGGATGCAGCAAGAGGCATAGTTTCGCGTCCGAGAGTGTAGGAATAAGGACTATTGTGACGTAGTGATAAGACTTCGCATTTGGCAACGTTGGATTCCACATCATTGGAGACAGATCATTTGTGGGCTTCGTCAAGGGCGTTTTGGAGATCAAATGAATCTTCAAGTTTTGTTATTGTCCTCCATATTTTGGCATCGTCCGCAAACAGCAGAGTTTGTGGTCCGAGAACGTCTGGAAGATCATTTATGCAGGGAAAGAAAAGACGTGGGCCTGTGGAACCCCACGGTTGACATCGATTGGATCAGAAAGTGAATCGGAAACACGAACTGACATGGTACGTAGGCGAAGAAACTCCTCGATCCAGCCAAGTACGAGTCCACAGATTCCATAGTTATACAGCTTCCATATCAGTATTTGATGATTTACTCTATCAAATGCTTTAGAAAAGTTCAGGTAAATGGCATTTACCCCTTTGCCTAGGTCGACAGCATAAGTCCAATCGTCCCGAGCCAAAATCAAATTAGTTGCACAATAACGATTTTTTCGAAATTCGTGCTGGGCTGGGGATAGTAGGTCATTTTTCTTCAGATGATCCATAACCGAATTTGCAACAATAGATTCCATGGCTTTGGACAACACTGGAAGGAGAGTGACTGGTCGGTGGTTGGCATCCACCTTTGTAAACTAGTGAAATGATACCGTTTTTCCACACCTGAGGAAGCACGGTATCTTCAAACAGTTTTTGGTATAGCTCACTTAGAGGATCGGTTAAGTGACTTGCAAGGGTGATAAGGGCTTGTAGATGCATGTTATCTAAACCCGGTGATGAGTTCTTCTTGAAAGCCATGGGCTTAGCGTTTATCCTTTCGGGAGAAAAGATAATGTTTGTCAGTAATGGGTAAGGAATATGTTCCAGCAAACGGGGAAGTACGAACCCAGTGTTACTAGGAGCATTGACCACTTGGGAGTACTGTAGTCCAAGCATTTCTGCAGCCTCCTTGGTTGTCGCTAAAACACGTCCTGCTGAGTTTGTAACGGAACGTCGTGTTTGACTTTCTGGGAAGCGTTTTCATGCTTATACAGTAGCTTAGGGTTTGCGATAAACTTCCTCGCCAGTATATCATGATTATTGTGCTTGTCTTCCCGCACCAAATTTGTACAGTGATTTCGAAGGAGCTTGTAAGCTTCCCAAGTGCTGGGGCATTAACAGCGTTTGAACTGCCCCCAGTGAAAATCTCTTTGCATTATACATTTCCTAGTTCGACTGCGAATTGCTGATTTTCGGACAGTCGGTTGGCATCGACGCTTGACGTTTGTAACTGCAGCCACCAATGTTGTGATGCTTTTAGTAAATTTTCTCCAGGATTCCAGGGGATTGCAGCCTATATCAGGGGAGATCCACTGGATTCCATGAGCCACTTTGTTTACTCCAGTATAATTATTTTTACTGCAAAAGCGATCCGAAGAAGCTGTTATCACTGATGCATAGCAAACTTATTCAAACTATAGTACAGCGTGATCACTGCGCCCCAACGGAGTTGCGATTGCAATTGATTCGACCATCAATTCTGCATTTGTTAGTACTAGATCCAAAGTTGACGCAATTTCGTTGGTTCCAAACCTGGTGGGTTCCTTCACATGATTGCAAAACGGATGTGACTGGATGAACTGCTTCAACTGTCGTTCAAATGGCGTACACGATGTAGTCACGTTGCTCAGCTTTGGAAAGTTGAAGTCACCCATAACAAGAATGTGAAGGAAATTCAATGACAGGACAGACATTATCTGCAACAAAGTTTAATTTGATGAATCTGCTGACGAAGGAGAGCGATAAACTACACCGATCATCCCGATATCATGTTGTGTTAGCTTCAATTTACACCATAACGTATCTGGAGCAGCTAACGGGCACTCAAATTGCTCGCATTGCAAACTGTTATGATAGTAGAGCAACATTTCCCCTACCTCGCGTTGGACGATCACCCCTCAATAGCTCCATGCCCGGAAATCGNGCCCGGAAATCGCAGCTCGGAATCCAAAATGTCATTCGTCAACCAGGTTTCGGTTACGGCAATGAGATCCCATCGACCGGTATGACAACGTAGTTCCACTTCTGGAAACTTACTAAAAAAAAACCCTGAGCGTTGGAATAGAAACAGTTCAGTCGTTGTCGGTGCCGAAATCCCTTGGAGGTTAGGGACGTAATGGGGCTGATCTCCACGTCCGCCGGCGGACGTTTTTTGCCGTAGGTATTTGTTGGGTTTGGTCTAATTGGGTTGAAGTGGAGCATGAAATGGTTTATAATGTAGCGGATACTCCCATTTTGTCAGTAGTGTTTGAACCAGACCTTGATGAGTTAGGTGAAAACTCAATATCCCCCATCCTGGAAAACGGCATCGTTTCGCCTATTTGCATAGGTGGCCATGAAAGTGATCCTGCAAACTACCGTCCAGTTACACTTCTTTCTGTTCTGTCAAAAGTAATGGAATCGATTGTTGCTGATTCTCTGATGGGTCATTTCAAGAAGCATAACATACTTTCGCCTGCCCAACACGGGTTTCGAAGGAAACTCTTGTGCACCACAAACCTGCTACTTGCACAAGATGAATGAACAAGATCATTCGACGCAGGAGAAGCGGTGGACGTAATCTACTTAGACTTCTGCAAAGCTTTTGATAGGGTTAACCACCGTACATTACTGCGAAAGCTCCATAAATACGGTGTCCGAGGACTGCTACTGGACTGGATTGAGGATTTTCTTCGACAACGTACGGTATCGGTTCGAGTAAATGGTTCTCTGTCGGGACTGATTGAGGCTTTCCGTGGAGTTCCACAAGGATCCGTATTCAGTCCGTACCTTTCCTTACCAGATGTCCTCGAAGAAAGGACGTTATTATTCGCTGATGATGCCAAAACATGGAAGATGGTAAAATATCCTGAAGATTATGAAAGCCTACGGGGAATTCTAGACGTAGCTTATCAATGGTCCATCATTATTGACATCGAATTCAACGTTGAAAAATACAAGATTGTATAACTGCGCCACGGGGGTCACTTCCATACTTAATTGGAACTCAGTCATTGCCGCGTTCTCCAACCGAAAAGGACCTGACAGTTATTGTTCATGAGGATTTAGGATGTCCCACACATTGCGCAGAAGCGACTTCAAAGGCTACAAAACACGTTGGGTTGCTGAAACGTGTTTTTGGATCATTCAAAACAGATCTATTGACCCGTTTATTATTAGCATACATTAGACCACACAGAGTATGCTATACAGGCTTGGAATCCATAGCTGATTTTCGACCAAAAAGTACTCGAACGTCCGCAGAGAACAGCAATCAAAATGGTCAAAGGGTTACAATGTAAGACCTATGGTGAAAGACTACGAATTCTTGGACTCTACTCGACTGAATAAGTGTCGAATACGAGAGACATGATCCTCGTTTATCAAATACCACATCAACCAAACT